TTGCCACAAAAGTATGACAACCCCAGTTCAATCCTCAGAACCCATATGAATGCCCCAGGTGTGGGGGCATGTGCTTGTAACCCCAGTGCTAGAGAGGCAGAGACTGGGCCCAGGTAAAGCATTTTAAAAACAAGATATAATGGCATATTTGCATAAGCGTACCCAAATGAAACCTATTACCTTGTTAACAACAAATTAAAGAATTAAAGATAGAGATTGCAAAAAAAAAAGTGGTGTCTGTCTTTAAATTTGGGGGACCTGTGTGGTAAGAGATCAAGTCAATAGGAATGGATCTGAGCCGGTGTCACTGGGCAGGTTAAGAAGTGATCTACTTTCAGGCGTTCCAGTGACTTCCTTTTGCTTTCATTTGCTTTTCTCCAAGCCACAGGGTATCTTTTTTTTTCAGGTAACCCACTACAAAGCAGGCACAAAAAAGGGCTCCTCTTGGTATTGTAGCTGGGACTTTCTGAGGGGGTTGGTTGCCTTTATGAGATCTGATTATAGCAGTGGTCAAATAATTCCACCTTGCCCACATGTCCACATTGTTCTTCACTAAGAGCAAAACATTTTCCTGTCTCCAAAAACCCCCAAACCCCACATGTAACAAAGCGTATACGTCATATGTGTCATGTTCATTACCTTGAAAATACTAACAATGTTTAGATAAAACTGGTGTGTTTTATGAATTCAGTGTTAAGACATTGATTTACTGATGTTGAGATAAAAACACCAATTAATGAATTGTTTTTGTTGTGAAGTTTTCCCATCATAACGTCAATCCCTCCTCCCTCTACATAAAGAGGGACATGTTTTTATGAGTAGTATAAACCTCCACTTAACTGACACTCTTTTTCTTTTCCAGCTTGTGTTTCTGGCAGCCTGACTTGAATTATGGCCACTGAAGGCAATGTAAGTACCAGTGTGAGTTCCCCTTAGCACACCCCAGGCTTTAGATATTTCCAGTCTGATGAATAAGTAAAATAACAGACAAGTTGATTTTAAGTCCCCCTTTGTCCTCCATTTCATTAACTTCAGTGGAATCAAATGACCCTGTTATCAAGTTGCAAGTCTTATGGCTTCGAAGTGTTTAAAACCTCTGGCTATTCAGAGATCAAAGAGTATAACCATGTACGGAACAAAAATCCTCCCTGTGTTCTAAGAAGACAATAACTATGATATTGTGAAACCTCTTACAGGACAATTTATATTAATAATTGCATTGCAATTGTGGATTCCTTAAAAAAATATAGCTGTTGGTTAGCCTGAAATAGATGAGTACACTGAGCAAGTGTATTATTTGTATGGGTAAACTTAACAGGGAAAAAATGAGAAAGTTGGTCACAGGGCTGCAGCGTTTGGAATAGGAGAGGATGTGGCGTGGCATGGGGCTGTAGGTTATGTATCTTTTGGCGCATCTAATGACCTCACGATAGATGCAGAAGTGATGTACAGGTGCTGGATCCACAGCTCAGTTGGTGGAGCCCTTGCCTAGGTTCAAATCCAAGCATCACATAAACTGGGCATTGTGGTGCACATCTGTAACCTCAGCACTCAGGAGGTGGAGGCAGGAGGGTAAGAAATTCAAGGTACATGGTGAGTTCCAGGTGAGCCTGGGTTGTATGTAACTCTGCTTGAAAAAAAAAAAAAAAAAGAAGACTTTTCAGAAGAAGGAAGCATTGACTTACTTGGTACCAAATTGGGCACATGAGTGTGGTTTCCTGATGCAAATTGGACAGCAGGTGTCAAGGCAAGTTGGAGCAGTAGCCATGGGGGAAGGAGTTTCCTGGACAGCTCCTGGAAAGTGCATCTCCCTAAAAGGCAGGGCGTCTGGTAAATTCTCTTTATGGCTTCCTGATCACTTTGCATCCCAGGCCTACAACAGTTGAGCATACTTTAATTCTGTTCTAATTCTAAATTGTAGGAAAAGCTTGTCAGTCATAAGAGACAGTGGAAACTTGGACAGACAGGGTAGGAAACTAAAAAAAAACGAAAGCACAGAGTACAGTCAGATGTGCAGAGTCGCCATTTAAGATGAAGGCATGCGAGAGGCAGTCACGTGCACACCATGGATGGGTGGTTTTGACGTCAGAAATGTGAATTGTCGCAGTGAAGGTAATGAGATAAGAGGGAGGAGAATAAGTAGAGTGCTAATGGAAGATTTTTGCCAGAAGTTGAAAGAGCATGAGATACACAGGATATTACCAAAAAGCTTCTACAGTCAAGGATAAAAGGAAACAAGTATCATAGGTGTGTAGAGGAAGAGTCAGGAGGTCAGAGCAGCCAAATTTCATGAAAATTTAAAATTGTAGTTACATTTTTAGTGTGTGTGTGTGTGTGTGTGTGGTGTGTGTGTGTATACATATGTGCATGTTTGTGTAGGTACACACGTGCTGGTGGGTCAGAGGACAGCTTGATGACATTGGTTCTCTCCATCCATTTTGTGGGTTCTGGGGACAGAATTCAGATCAGCAGACTTTGCTGCAAGCGCGTCGACTGGCTGTGCCGTCCTTCGGCACTTCAATGCTCTTCCACTCTTGAATTTATTTATTCATACGTGTGAATAGGCCCACAATCCAAGGTGTGTGTGTGTGTGGCAGCCAGTAGACAGCTTGCTCGAGTTGGTCCTCTCCTTCAACCATGTGGGTCCTGGAGACTGGTGATTACGGTTGGAGACAACTGTGCTTAGCTGCTGAGCCGTCCTTCCAGACCTCAAAGTTCATGAAAATGTAGAAATGTGTGTGCTTATAGGCATAGGTATATGTGTCATATGGACAGAGAAATGGAAAAACAAAACAACCCCCCCCCCAAAAAAAAAAAAAAAACAGTGTTGCCAGGGCCTTGAATGATGATAACATGATCCTGGCATTACTTCAATTTTTCCACTGAAAGGATGTAGTTTTCTAACTGAGAGAAATTAACTTTTCTGTGTGTAGAGGAGTGGAAAGTTAAGGTAACATCAGTGCGTCTAACACTGAAATATTCACAGAATTTGAGAAAGAAGAAAAAAAAAACATCGCATGTTCTCTCTCATGCATGAACCCTTGCTCATGAGGTTTATATGTATTTGTGGGTGTAAGTGTGGCTCTAGGCCTCGAGGTTAGAAATGAAAAAGGAAAAGGTATTGAAGAAGGGGAGGTTGGTAAGACATACAGGACAGAAAGGGAGGTAGGAAGTGGAAGAGTTCAAAGTGGGAAGGGGGTGGGGAGCAGCGAGCACAGAGGAATGCAACCAGAAATATATTTTGTTTGAAAGCGCCATAATGAAACTTCATTGTGTATGCTAATTAAAAAATAAAAAAAAATATCTATTTCATATGCACTCAGGATCTATTATCTGTTGGGGTCTGTGTTAGGTAAGAACTGGAGATTTAATTGACTTCAGATAATGTGGTCGTTTGAATGAAAATGGCCCCCACAGGCTCATAGGGAGTGGTGTTATTTGAAAAGATTAAATCATGTGGCCTTGTTGTATTGGTGTGGCCTCCTTGGAGGAAATGTGTCACTAGGGGTGGGGTGGGGTGGGGGGTGGGCTTGGAGGTTTCAGAATTTCAAGCCCAGACTCAGTGGCTGGAGCTCTCACTTTTCCTGTTGCCTGCCAGCCCAGATGTAGACTTCTCAGCTACCTCCCCAGCACCGTGTCTGTCTGCATGCTTTCATGCTTCCTGCCGTGATGATAATGGACAGAACCTCTGACGCTGTAAGCCAGCTCCAATGAAGTATTTTCCTTTATAAAAAGTTGCCATGGTCATGGTGTCTCTCCACAGCAATAGAAACCCTAACTAAGACAGATAAATTAAGATGGTCACATCTTTGGAAAATAATTCTCAGGGATTAGAAGAAAATCGCTGATGGGATTACCAGAGGTGTGACCCCTGTCCTGGAGCCATCATCATGGTAGCATGTGACCCACTTCGCTTGGTCCTGGGCACCAGTGAATTCTGTTCTTGAGTGGAGACTGGCTATTTATGGAATTTCTCATTCCCTGAGCCCCGCTGCGCTCCAGCTTCCCTCAGCCCAGCAACCTCTCTGGCTCTATTTTCCTCTCATTCTCTCACGGCTATCGGCACTGGGAGGCTCTATTAACACGGCTCTAAAGCATTTCTCCCAGCAGCTCTTTGGCTTTGACCCTCCTTTATTTTTCCATTCAGAAAATTAGCTCAATTTTCTGCCGTCTTTTCTTCCCTAAGTCAGATGGGGCAGAGGAGACCTATTTTTGTCCCACTCATTTCACAAGGTTTATTTGACACATTTGACCTAATCACATCCCGGATTACACTTCATTTCCCCTAAACTAATGTTTGCTGAGCTTCACGAGCCGAGCACTCTGCCTGTGGCTCACTGTCTCACACAGTAAAAGAAGATAGATGCTCCCCAGCCAGACGGTTCATCATCGGGACGTGCATGATAAACAGTGCCCACAACTTCAAACAAGATTTAAGTATTGGAAATTTGGTTATGTGTAGCATTACTCATTTTGGCTCAGCTGGGTTGTTTGTAACCTGGCAGTGTTCTGTTTCCTCTTCAAGAAAAGAGTGGAATTGTTAAAGCTGGGGTTAGACCTTGAAATAATCAACTCACCAAATGCTGAGACTCGTCCCTCTTGGTACCACCCCTTCTGCAGAGGGATACTTGCTCTTCCCTCTTCTCATCGGGCTTTCCCCTGGACACCTCTTCTCCCAGTCCACCAGCCACCTACGACGTACTAGAGTGGCTTTTCTTTATTCTTTTTTCTAACATAATCTTTTTATTGATTATTTGGGAGTTTCACATAATGCACCCCGAGCATTTTTACTTCCCAGGTTTATAACCCCCAACCCTTGTGATTTCCCTTGAAGAAAAGAAAAACAAATAAAAAAAATACCAAGTCCAATTTGTGTTGTCCATGTGCTCACTGGAGCATGGTCAGACTCTCAGAGGCCAGCCCCTTAAAGAGAACTGAATTCTTCCCCATCCCCACCCCCAAAGCCATCAACTGTAAAGAGCTACACTTGAGGACCCCTGTCACAATTTTTAAGAGTTTTCTTTAATGGCTTCTTGTCTAGACTGTTTCCTTTTTGGGAGGTGGTGGTGGTGGCCTGTATTGTCACCCAAGTCCATGTTGATGTCTGTGGCCTGTACTAGTGCTAAGGGCTGTGATGGTGTCCATGGATCTTGCTGTGGCCGACATCCATATTGATGTCTTTGGTCTGTACTGCTGCCACAGACCATGCTGAGGTCCACAGTCCGTGCTGATAGTGGAGGTCATGTGGATGTCCGTGGTCTATGCTGTCACCAGAAACTATGTGGAAGTCCAGTCCATGATTTGTGCTGCCGCTGACCTGAAAGGGCAAGGGAGCTTCTTTGGCAGTGGTATTGATGACTATAGACTCACAGTTGAGAATGAGAGACAGAGTGGGTTTTCTTATAGGCAGTTCTCATGGTGTCGCTTAATTGCTTACGTCGGCTTGGTGGCTACCCATTGGACTTCCTGTAAACCTGATAGTTTAAAACACGATATTCAAGGCCCTGTGTAACATGGCTTGGCCACTCAAGGTGGTTGTCTGTCACTCTGTGCTGACGCTCACTGGGTCAGTCATGCCTATACTGTTGTATCACATCCTCTTAGGCCTATTTTTCAAGCAGTTGATGTGATCAGCTCACAGGCTGCCTTCCTTGACGGCACACTTCTGGTGAACTCTCCTTCTGTGCTTCTGTTACACCCTATTTGAGCATTCACCTAAAGACCTCATTATCCTTGATTCATTGTGTACCCCATCTCTATTCCTTTCCATCTTTCAACTCTCTGCTCCCCTTTCTTTCTGTGTGTGTGTGTGTGTGTGTGTGTGTGTGTGTGTGTGTGTGTGTGTGTGTATGTATGTGTGAGTGTGCGTGTGCGTGTGTGTGTGTGTGTGTGTGTGTGTGTGTGTGTGTGTGTGTGTGTGCCTGTGGAGATCAGAGGCCAAGATCAGGTGTCTTACTCAATTGCACTACTCCTTACTTTTTGAGACAGGGCCTCTCATTGGAAACTCCTGATTTGGCTAGAGTGGCTTGTAAGCCCAGAAGACCCTTCTATCTCCACGCCCCTGGCTTATGATCACAGATGTGTGTCACCATGTCTGACTTTTTTACATGGGTGCTGGGGATCAAGCTCAGATCCCCATGCTTGTGTGGTGAACACTTTGCCAACTGAACCATCTTCCCAGCCTCTAGTCATCTCTTCCATGCTTGGCTGGAAGCTGTCTGAGAGCATGGTTGGCAATGAGTATCTGGTCCTTGGCAATGAATACTTTTCTGGTAAGTGATTAGTGAATAACTGAGAGCCACAGTTTATAGATAGTTGTCTGAGAAAAATGATTAAGGATCTGGGTCATTGCTTCTTGGGAGATGTCTAAGAATCCATATATGTATTCCTTGGCATCCATACAGCATCAACCAACCAACCAACCAACCAACCAACCAGCCAACCAACCAACCAACCAGCCAGCCAACCAACCAACCAACCAACCAACCAACCAACCAACCAACCAACAAATCGATCTAGCATATATTATTCTTTAAGACTTAACTAGAAATTCTCTGGTTTTGCATAATTTTAGTGGCATTTTTTTTTTATGTGAGAATGGAAAGCAATCACACTTAGATATATCAGGTTCATAGGGAACAGGGCAGGCCCAATGCCTTTACTCCTGTTCATGGCTGTTTTACCTAAGACTCCAAAACAGTCTTGCTTTTGGAGATGGCTCTTGGAGAAGAAACACTAAGATTAACTCAGTTCAAAGCTGTCTGACTGTGCTTTCTAAAGAATTATTTTAAATGTCATTCCTTCACTGAATAGTGCCAGAGGACAACAGGTCAGGTAAACGGTTTCCCCAGAAACCAAGTCTAAAGTCATGCCTCCCTTGTTCCCGTGGTCATTTACGTGTGACACTGTGGTTGTGTTCCTTTGTTCCCGTGGTCTTTATGTCTGGCACTGTGGTTGTGTTCCTCGACGCTGTCTGGACTCAGCTGTGGGGTGAGTGGGGTGCTCATCTCCTCTGATCCTTCCTGTGCTGGCTTCACAGGAGGCTCTGTTTTGGCCCACTACTCATAAGGCACTTATTGCCTAGTGTGTATGTGATGATGGCAGTCAGTATCTTAGACTCCTGTCTTTAGGACACCGATGCGACCCTTCCTTTCTCTGGGCTGTGGTATGAGGCCCAGGGATGTGGTAGTAGTTTTGGCAAAGTAAGGAGTTTAGTTTCACAGGTCGGATCATGTGAAAGGATGTGAAACCAAATTGGCAGTTTTGTGTTGTTGGGGACATCAGCATGAACCCACACTGAAGTGATGTAGCCAGTGCTGCTCTACATGATTCTATCCCCCATATCAGGCCCTGGAGACTGGGTCACACATCTACTCCCACAGAGCTTCAATTAGGAAGGCTCCCTGGGCCACTAGGGGTAGGTTCCTGGGTAGGGTGGGAGGTGCTTGCTACTTACCCCTGGAAAACATCTGTTCCTATGGCATCTGTCACAGGAGACTGTCTTGGCTTCCAGAGTCTCAGCACTTAGATTGGACAGTTGAGATATGTTGAAAAGGGCACTGTGATTTTTGAGAAGGTAGTGTGTTAGGTAAAGCTAGAGGTGTGCTTAGCACATGTCTAATTTTACTTTCAAGGAAAAATTGAGACCACCCTCCAGGTGGGCTGAAGTTTAGTGCCAGTTAATCTCAGGGGAGTTTTTACCCTATAAATGTACCAGTTTCGGAGCAATAAATGCACTGGGGTAACTTTTAGATTGCCTAACATCACTAATCCCCCTTTCCAGTGGAAGCATTTTGCAGTCCAGAGTAATCCAGCAGCAGGACCCTTTCCAGATGTTTGTCAACTCACCCCGTGGCAGGAACATAGGAATGCATCCTTCTTACTACAGCCATCAAAGGAAGCAAAAAATAGATACAAGATATGGTGTTTTGATTAGTTTGTGTCAGACACAATATGTCTGAGCATAATACATCTACAAGAGTGTTGGTTCTGTCTTGAAGTCTTGGCCAGAGGCACAGCCTGACTGCCAGGAGCCATTTACGAGCTGAAGTATTTTTAGTAGGGCCATCGTGGTATGTTACTGAGGCTGTCCAAGGTCTGCACTGTAGGTGGTGAGATTGGGTATGATGTACTGTTAGTTTCAGATCGAGCAAAGTAAGAGTTGGACGAAGGCAGCAGTAGCAGAACAGCATACAGATGGGAGATTAAACAGACACTGGGAGGCAACCCGGCCAGGGCAGTGATGGAGCACATGTGTGGGATGGGGAAAAGGCCATAGAAATGACTCACAGTTCTGGGTTGAACCTTGGGTAGGCAGTGTTACTATAACGTGCATCCCTGTGAACCACACAGAGTAAAAAAACATTTAAATCATGATACCCCTTTCAGAGGCATCAGTAGTAGCACATGCCAACAAGATTGGAGACTGAAGCAAAGCAACACACAGACAAACAAAAGGCTTGGTCTGACCCCCTAGCTATAAGTGATCTCTGTTCACCACAGTGGTGAGGTTCCTCATCTGTGAAACAGGGCAGAACAGGACATGCTTTGAAGGACCTTGGGAGGTCACATATAGCAGTCATTCTAATGACTACAAATAAAGAGGACTGAGCGAAGTTAAGATCCATACAAGAGCTAATTAACCACCTTCCGAAGCCAGAGAAGTCTTCATGTAGAAGTGGCACTTGACAGGGTCTCAAAGGATTAGCTTACCCAGGGGAAGCATTGGGGAAGGGAAGGCATTTACAGAGTTGAGTTGCTAAAGTGCCTGAGACTTCTGCAGGATAGAGGGAAAATCAAGGTTTAGGAGAGAAAGCAGGTATTTGGTGGTATTATGACCAGAAAAGGCACTAGGTTGACCTTTCAATTGTAATTTTAAGATAGATTACTGTAAATGAAGTATGTGACCTCCATTCAAGCATGTGGCTGTGAGTTCACACTTAGCAACGCTCTAGTTTTCTTCGAGCAAATATCAATGATTGACAAAGAGAAAGAGAAAGACAAGAAGTTATGGTTAGAGTCGAAGGCTTGCTAAACAGCTTTAAAAAAAAATCAAACCTGAAAGGCAGTAGGTATGACTGAAGCCAAAGGTTCGATGGGTACCCGGTTGGTGATCTGAAAAGTGTTTGGGTTCTATGGCAGGGTCAGAGGGGGAGGAAAATAGTAAATATGGGAGAAGTGAGGTTCATTCGCTGGTGGCAGTGGCAAACAGGGGCTCCCTGTGTATGAGAGGGCTCTGGATAGAAGAAAAGAGATCACAAGTGGCCATCGTAGGGAGGAAGGAAATGCAGGCAGGCTCGAAACCAGGAAGTAAAGAGGACTGTCAACGGGATGAGTGTTAGATATGCAAGATTCCTAACCAGGATTTCAAGTGATTGTACGGCTAGCTTTCATTAAGGAGAGGTAATCTGAAATCACCAGAGAGGAAGGAGAGAGATGGAGACAGAAAGGAGGAGAAGGGGAGAGAGGAATTTTATAATATATATATATATATATATATATATATATATATATATATATATATATTTTAGTGGATACTATGTGTGTATCCTCTCTGCCACATTCACATGCTGAAGTCCCAATCCAATTCAAGATGGGATGCTGTTAAGAGATGTATTGAAAGGTCATAGGTCATGAGGGTTGTGCCCTTATCAGCCCTTATCTGAGAAAGATGAATTTCTTATTGGCCATGTGAGGATATATTAAGATCATAGCTGTCTGCAAGTCAGGAAGAGGTCATCACCATTGTTAGCAACTTGACCTTACCCATCCCAGCTTCTAGAACCAAAATGATATTTTGTTTTATTTTTTTAAGTTATGCAGTCTGTGGTTTTCTGTTATACCATCCAATCCGACTAAGAAAAATTTCAAAACACATTAAAAATAATGCAAAAAAGATAGGCTATACAATAAAAAAACAGGAGATATCATTTTGAGTTAAGAATTCCTCCCTCCCTTCCCTCTTTCCTTCTTTCCTTCCTTCCTTCCTTCCTTCCTTCTTTTTTTTTTTAATTTTTGAGACAGTTTCTCTGTAGACTAGATTAGCCTCAAACTCACAGAGATCTGCCTGCCTCTGCCTCCCGAGTGTTGAGATTGAAGGCGTGTGCCACCACCACCCAGTGAGTTAAGACTTTTAAACTCTAATGGACAAATGAAGGATGGGGTTCTAAGAATCTTTTTTTTTAAATTTTTTCTTTTTTTTTTTTTTTCCGAGACAGGGTTTCTCTGTGTAGTTTTGGTGCCTGTCCTGGATCTCGCTCTGTAGACCAGGCTGGCTTTGAATTCACAGGGATCCACCTGGCTCTGCCTCCTGAGTGC